AAATTCCAGACCGACGTTGCAGAAGCAGACCAGCTAAACTGGTTCACGACCAGACCCAACCGACATCTGATGTGTGCGGCTGCAGAAGTATAATCTGGCCTTAAAACTGCCAGAAAAATCTATAGTCACTTACCAAACAGAACGAGAGAAAACACGAAAATCAAAAATCCCAATTTAAAAAATTGGGACAAGCCCCCAATTCATGTTACGACCCATCTAGGGGTAGCCAGATCATAACATGAAGAACTCTTCAGGTCTCAAGCAGCCAACACACACAAAGTAGAACATTTTATGAAGTTATTTATTTAAGAGGGAAGTATTTTTGATTGAGAAATTTCAGGTTGACCATTTGACTTCAGAGAGAGCTAATGCCAAAAACAACAAAGGAGACTGTCTAAATATTAATCAACCTAATTGAAATTGATAAAGCAAATAACAAAAAACATAACTGTCAATCATTCTGGTGATATGTTTACGTAAGGCCTTCTTCCGAGCTTGTTCCGTTAGCTAGCTTTTTCTGCGCACTTTCAGGCGTAAATCTGTGGTGAGCTACGGTTTCAGAATTGAAGCTCACCTTTCTCACCGCCGTTCTTTGAAAATGGCCGAAGGTCGGAAGAGAAAAAGTGTCTACGAAGAGGATGAGAAGAAAACAAAAGGCCTCAGAAGAGGCAGATATATCCCAGAATGCTTTGCGTGGAGACCTCTCCTCATGACATGACTTTAACCAAAGATGTTCTGGTTCCAACAGAACTCACCTGGACCTGGCTCTGGATATGAACCCCGAAGAATCCGGATTAGTCGACGCTTCGTCATTGAGACGCCAGGCGAGTCTGGGTTTCTGTTTATGATTCTATCGACCCGTTCTGAAACCAGGACCGGTTTTGGTTCTGTTGGTGAACGGTCCGCCTCTTGTTCTTGTGTTCGTGCAGATCGTAAAGCTGAACAGGCGTCTGCAGCTGCTGGAGGAGGAGAACAAGGAGCGCTCCAAGCGGGAGGTGATGCTGTATTCGGCCACGGTGGCGTTCTGGCTCATCAACACCTGGATCTGGTTACGTCGCTAAAGCAGGACGTCTCCAAAGAACAAACCAACCTGGAAACCCAAATAAATCCTGACTGGCTCGGCGCGGGTCTCCTCTGACATTCCACATGGATCAAAGGAAACGTTATTTCTGTTTACAGATTTTTAATCTCTGGATGACTAAAAGCTGACCTGATGTTAGTCGCCACGGCACCCAGGAAGTGCCGCCGTATGGAGGCTTGTCCTGCCTAGTTCAGAGCGCCGTCCCACTCTGCTTGCATGTAAAACTTCCTCATCTTCTCTGATCTTCTTCTCTCCATTAAATCTTTGTTTCTGCTCTCAGATTTAAAGCTTCTTTTACTTTTCCTTACATGCAACCTTTAAGAAATTTGCTCACAAGCCTGTTTTCCCACACTTCTTTTTTGCTTTCACCGATTGGAATCATATCGTTGCCTAGCAACCGTTTCAGCCAATAGAACGACTGCAAGGAAAACTTGCTCCTAAACTTTCCTTCCGTTTGCTCTCCCTCTGATTGGAGGGTGTCATCGCCTAGCAACCATTCCAGCCAATAGAAACACAGCCATGGGGTGCACGTTTCTCTCTATGGTGCCTATATTACTACTGGAAAAAGGGAAATTGACTAAAATAATGAAATAATTCATATTTACTATATAATATTCTGCAAGTATTTTGATAATGATGGTCGGTAAAGTTACTGAAGATCTAGTGGTATTGTGGTCAGGCTATTGATTTTTATTTATTACAAGAATAAAGTGATAACATTATGAGAATAATGTAACATTATAAAGTCATGAAATACTAAAAGTCGTAACATCATCAGAATGCAATCCTAATATTACGAGAATAAAGTTGAAAAATACAAAAATCTATTAATCATATTTTATGCAGGGGCAGATTTACCAGGCAGTTCCCTAGGGCCCCAAGTTCCTGGGGGCCCCATAAAACTCTGTTT